GTTTAAATTTTTGTCTTGCATTTTTTGGTGTTATTTTGAAAAAAAAAAAATCTACCAACAACAACTCCAAGTGAATTCCATGTGAGTCTCTTATCTTTTGGGGCTCAACGTATGCATGTGGGCCGATCTCTCTGTATTTTTTTAATATTCATTTGGCAAAATTCACAAGTGTTTGTCACAAAACATGAAGAGTTAGAGTTTTTTTGTTATTTTGTACTCTACAATTTTCGGTTCTATTGCGTACTTTGTGATTTTAAATTCAACATTCCAATTATATTTATTTTTATCTATGAATAATTGAACTTTGAACAAAAAAAAATTCTATCGCAAAGAAAGTGTTAAATGTTTATGAGGGGGGCTAATTGTTTTCGTACGGGTAATTGATTAATTTCCGAACGGCAGACGTCTAATTACAGTGTTTAAAGTATTATTTTTTTAAGAGATTTCAAATTTGTTTGTGGAATTTGGGTATAGGAGACCTACCATAAGGTAACCCATAACAGGTGTTGTGAAAACAGAATATTTCCCATACGAATCTGATAGATAAAACAGTGTAATTGATATTCCCAGCATGGAAACCAATTTTTCAGACCCTTAACGGTTGCTCTATGGAGGACTCCTCTGAAAATAGAAAACCTCTCGAAGGTATTTTTGAAATAGATGACGTCTTGAATGACTTTTTACAATAAAGGATCACTTAAAGACTCATGAAGAAAATCTTTGGAGGCCTTCTTTATACAAAAGAACCCTGAAAGTTCTTGTAGACGAAGATATCCTTTAAAAGTCATACTTTCAATAGAACAGCACTGAAAGATATTCATCCTTTAAAACGGCTTCTATCGATAGAAAGTATTCGAAACGTCTTTTAGAAACAGAAGAGTTTTCGAAGGTCATAAGACTTCTTTCTTAAAAATCTCTTACAGATCTTACAGAATCTAGAGGATCTTTTGTAAAAATGTTGTAATAATAATAAAAAATAAATGAATAAATTTCAAGGCCTAAAAGCAATATATAATGTTTCGTGGGGAAACGGAGCACTTTTAGAATCAGAAGGCTCTTCTAAATATTTTAGCTGAAAGAAAAACTCCAAAGATCGTCTAGTAATAGGTTTCTATCTTTTCTTCAGCTCTTCATCAAAATAAGAACCCTTAGAGCCCTACTACCCAAATAAGACTTCTCGAAGACATTCTCGTTCTAGAAGAAAACTCGAGGTAAGATAAGACCTCTCCAAAACCTTCTATTAATAGAAAACCTTTCAAAGAAAATCTCCCGAAGATTTTCTAGCAGTAGAAGGCTTTTTAAGCACTCCTAGCAATTGAAGATCTCTCGAGTGCCTTTGAGCAATAATAGGACCCTTTCAAAAGATTTTTACTAATAAAAGTCTTCTAAAAAGACTCTTAAAAGTCGTCTAATCACCTCGATGATCTATTAGTAAGATATTACCTTTAGAAAGTCTACTAGCAATAGAAAACCCCTCCAAAGACTTTAAGCAATATAAGTTCTCTGAAAAGGCTTTTAGGTTTCTCAGAGATCTTCATCAAAGTAAGAACCCTTAGAGCCCTACTACCCAAATAAGACTTCTCGAAGACATTCTCGTTCTAGTAGACAACTCGAGGTAAGATAAGACCTCTCCAGAACCTTCTATTAATAGAAAATCTTTCAAAGAAAATTTCCCGAAGATATCTGGCAGTAGAAGGCTTTTCTAAGCACTCCTAGCAATTGAAGACCTCCGGAGTGCCTTTGAGCAATAAAATAATAATAAAAGTCTTCTAAAAAGACTCTTAAAACTCTAATCACCTCGATAATCTATTAGTAAGATATGACCTTACAAAGTCTACTAGCAATATAAAACTTCTCCAAAGACTTTAAGCAATATAAGTTCTATGAAAAGGGTTTTAGCTATATTATGCCTCTCGAAATTTTTTGCAGCAATAGGAGACCTTTCGATGCTCTCGAGCAATATAAGAATAGCTCTCTAAGATTTCATTCAATGTGCTAACATCTTCAAGCACTTCTAGCAAGAGAAAACCTCTTGAAAGCCTTCTAATCTGTAGACGAACTCTCAGGGTCCACGTGCAATATATGACTCTTTCAGAAAAAAAAAGTCTCGAGAAGGTTTAGAGATTGGTAATTCCTCAAGGGTCTTCAAACAACAGAATATCTATCTTAGATTTTCTTGCAACAAAATGCCTCTCTAAGGTCTTCTGGCAAACGGAGGCCTCTTCTGGCAAATATTACCTCTCGAAGGGCTTTTTGTAATAGAAGATCTCATGGAGACATTCGAACAATAGGAAATCGGAATATCCATCTTAGATTTTCTTGTAACAAAATTCCTTTCTAAGGTTTTCTGGCAAACGAAGGCCGTACAAAAAATTTGCTTTCCGAAGGCTTCTAGAAATAGAAGATCTGAGGGAGACCATCGATCAATAGAAAATCTCTCGAAGCTATATAATAATAGCTCTTTAAACCTTTTTTCAATTGATATCCGATTCAAGTCGTTTTTGCAGCCTACAACTTCGTTCTAGTTTCCCGATGACCTCTCAAGGCCCTCAAGAAATATAAGACCCTTCGAAGTTCTTCTAGAAAATATGGGATCTAGAAGATCTCATGGTGTTAGGACAATCCTACAGATCTTATAGGGATAGGACATTCTTGTACCAACAGAACCCCTTGTGAAGGCCTTCAAGCAATAGAAAACTTCTCAAAGGGCTTCGAAATGAAGGTCTCCTCGTATAAGACGTCCTCTGGGAGTACTGGTTTCTTTCCATATAAAACTCTCGCCGCTTGACGGCCTCCTATCTACTGAAGAAATCTGGAAGGTCTAGTAGTTTAGATTATTTTTCTATAAAGGCGGTGGTCATATTTGTCGATTGCCGATGCAACCACTCAGCGAAGCAAATATGGTCCCACAAAGTCTATAGTTTGGGCCGACGCATCTCTTTTTTCTTGTCGTAGAGTTTTTTCTCTCCTCCATTTATTGAGGAAATCTGGAAGTTCTAGTAGTTAATTTTTTTTTATCTAAAAAGGATCTTTGGAAAGCCTCTTATTTTTAGAAGATTTTCTATTCAGAGAAATATTCTATAAGATACCCTTTCTATAGAAGGCCCTCAACTGTAGAATTTATGCAGAAGATCTCTAGAAGGTCCATTATTTACAGAATTAATCCTATATACAGAAGATCTGTAAAAGTTCTCTTAATTATATCCGGACTCCTATCTTTGTAAGATATTTAAAAGTTCTCCTAACTGTAGTAGATCTTTGAACATTTCTGGAAGAATCTCCTAGAAGAAGAAGAATGAAGACCTTCGAATGTTCTCCTATCTACAAAAAATCTCCAAGTCTTCCAACTAAAGAATATGGCTGGAGATTCTGCTATTTCTTGTAAGATGTCCTTCCTATCTACAAAATATCTTATATCCTTAGAATATTTCTGGGTGGGTTTTTTTTTTATAAAGTCTCAGACAGGATTCTCTGTTTATAGAAGATTTTGGAACATTTCCTATACTTAAAAGTTCTCCGGAAATCCTCTCCCCTGAAGATCCAATATTACTTTTTTATAGTTGTAATACGAAACATTTCTATTGGAGATCTTTGGAAAACCTCAAATTTCAGAATACCTCTGTATGTTGTCATATTTGTAGAGAACTCTGGGAGGTCTTTTATCTATAATCTTTGGGAGTTATCCCATCTATTACGATTTTTATAAATTCTATCTACATAAGCTATCGGGTGAGTCTTTTGTCTGTCGAAGACATGTAGGAGGTCTCCTATCCATTAAATGTATTACACTGGTCTTCCTTCCACATTGCTTTCTGTGAGTTCTCCTATTTGCAGAAGCTCTCGGAAAACACTCACATCTGTGGTAGGTCTCTAAAGGGGCTTCTTAAAGATATTTTATACGAAAAAGGTATCTGAAATCTATTCTACCAATAGAAGACCGTTACAATGTTTGCAATCTATAGAAGACCTGTTTAAGTTTCTCTTTATAAAAAAGGTCTTCACGGAGGGCGGGGGGAGGTGGTCTTCTACATTAAGATCTCTGGGAAATCTCCCAGTTGCGGAAGACATTTAGAAGATATATATGAACGATTTCCAAAAGTCTTCTATCTATATCGTCCTCGAAAAGATCCCTGGATGGTTTTTTGTTTTAAGTGATCTGTTGGAAATCTCCTATCTTTAGATGTATTCAGGGCTTCCTAACTCGAAGGTCTTTCGGTACATACCTTTGAGCGATCTCTATAATGTCTTCTTTCGATTGAGTCTCCTCTAGAAGATGTCTGTATCATTCTCATCTTTTATTTTTAGGTCTTTAGAACGTCTCCTAGCTGCAGAAAACCTATAGAGCCCTCTGGGGGATCTCTGATAAGACTTATATTTTCAGATCTGTAAAATTCGTTCTTGTAGTAATATATATTCTCTGGCAGATACCTTCGAGCTCTGGCAGATACCTTTTTCCTTTCTCTAAAAATGTTTCTATCATACTGGATCCATAGTCGATATACTGGTCCTCTATCGGTTCTATACATCTTGAAAACTTGCCAATGCATTGCTTCTCCCAAAAATGCCATTCAGTGAAAACTTGAAATCCATTTGTATGTGTGTACTTCTAAGTACCCTCTCAGTATTCACCTGTTTTTTTTCTGAGTTATTTAATGGCTCTGCTTGTCTAGACGGTAAAAAAGAAGATGCAACAAAAAACGCTGGAACGAGTTTTTTTTTACCCGCCACAAAAATAAGGGGCTCGTTCAAAGTGAAGTAAACAAAAATAAAAGCAAAACGAAAAAAAAAAATTGTGAAAAAATAAAAACAAAACAAACAAGCTTAAAACAAAACTGCCGACAAAAACAAAGCAACGGAAAAAAACACGCGCATTAATTTTAAGGTCAAATATTACCTTAGGCCATAAGTTGTGACGACTTAGCTTTTAATGATCTGCACGAAAAAAAAAAAGAAAAAAAGACAAATATCCTAACCCCTTTCCTACCATTTTCCCATTTTAGAGACGACAGCAACGTCAACGCCGACGCACTATAACAACATCGACAATTTAGTATACGACGCTAAAGATTTAGAGGACATCAACGACGACATGACTGAAGGTAAAAACATACCCACCACCCCCGGCTCCAGTGCCGAGGTGCCCTTTCGCCGCATGGGCGATTTTCGTAAAACATCACTGAGCATCAACCGGCTGGTGGGTGTCATCGATGAGGGCACCAATGTGGTAAGTTTCTCGATTTACACCACACCGGAATTCAAAGAAATCGCCGCTCATCGCATAGAGAAACAAATGATCAGCGTCAAAGATGGCTGGTTCGAACAGGATCCGGTGGCCATTATCAATAACATTTATCGTTGTGCCGAAGTGGCGGTTAGTAAACTGCCTGCCTTGGGTTATCGCAAGGAGGACATCTACACGATAGGCATTACAAATCAACGTGAGACGACAGTGGTGTGGGACAGCATGACGGGTAAGCCTCTCTACAATGCCATCGTTTGGAATGACATACGCACCACCAGCACCGTGGATCAGATTTTGGCTAAGGTGCCCGAGCAGAATAAGAATCATTTTAAAAATATAGTCGGTCTACCGATTTCACCGTATTTTTCGGCATTGAAAATACGTTGGCTCAAGGATAATGTACCGGCCGTGAGGAAGGCATGTCGTGAGAAGCGCTGCAAAGCCGGTACCATTGACAGTTGGATTGTGTGGAATTTAACAAAGGGTGAGTACTCAAATTTTTTTAATAATATTTTTAGAGGTCTGGAATATATAGAAGACCTTCTGGATGACTTCTATTGATACAAGATTCTCTAGAGGTTTCAATAGATGCAAGATCTTCTATAGACAGAAGACCCCCTAGAGGTCTTCTATAATTAGAAGACCCACTAGAGTTCTTCTATAGATTCTCCAGGAGTCTTCTACAGACAGACAGCCCTCTAAAGATGACCCTCTATAGATTTTCTCTAGATAGAAGAGCCTCTAGAGGTCTTCTATAGATAGAAGAGCCTCTAGAGGTCTTCTATAGATAGAAGAGCCTCTAGAGGTCTTCTATAGATAGAAGAGCCTCTAGAGGTCTTCTATAGAAAGAAGAGCCTCTAGAGGTCTTCTATAGACAGAAGACCCTATAAGAGACCTATCGATAGAAGATCCTCTAGAAGTCTTATATAGATATAAAAACCTCTATAGGTCTTCTACGGTCAGAAGACCCTCTAGAAATCTTCTATGGACAGAATACCCTCTAAAGGCCTTCTATTGTCAGGAGACGCTCTAGAAGTCTTCTATGTACAGAATACCCTCTAGAGGTCTTTTATGGACAGAATACCCTCTAAAGGTCTTCTATTGTCAGAAGGCGTTCTAGAAGTATTCTATGGACAGAATGCCCTCTAGAGGTCTTTTATCGACAGAAGAACCTCTAGAGGTCTTCTATAGACAGAAGACCCTCTAGAGGTCTTCTATTGGCAGAAGACCCTCTAGGGGTCTTCTATAGACAGAAGAGCCTCTATAGGTCTTCTATAGATAGAAAAACCTCTAGAGGTCTTCTATAGATTAAAGATCCTCTAGAGGTCTTCTATAGTTAGAAAATCTTCTATGAACAGAATACCCTCTAGAGGTCTTCTATGGACAGAACCTCTAGAGGTTCTCTATAGACGGAAGATCCTTTGAAGTTCTTTTCTAAATAGAAGACCCCTTAGAGATCTTCTATATATAAAAGACCCCTTAGAGCTCTTCTATACACAGAAGTTCATTTCTATACGACGTCAGGTTACCTCTTAAAATCATCTCCCTCAAAATATTTTTACTAAAATCTCTCAATTTTTCCCCAGGTTCCCTGCACATAACAGATGTTACAAACGCTTCCCGGACCCTACTTATGAACATTGAAAGTCTGGAATGGGATCCGATGATGTTGAAAACTTTCTCCATACATGTTGATATGCTGCCCGAAATTCGAAGCTGTTCCGAAATCTATGGTAAAATTTGTGATGAACGATCCGTACTGAATGGCATGCCCATTAGTGGTATTCTGGGCAACCAACAAGCCTCGCTGCTGGGACAGATGTGCATTAAACCGGGACAAACGAAAAATACCTATCGTTCCGGTTGTTTCTTGCTCTGCAATACGGGTACAACCCATGTCATCTCTTCGCGTGGTCTACTCACCACAGTTGCCTATAAATTGGGACCAAATTCACCGCCCATTTATGCTCTGGAGGGAGCAGTGGCAGTGGCGGGTCATGCCTTGGAATGGTTGCAGAATAAAGTGCGCATAATGCCCAATGCCTCCGATGCAGAGAAATATGCCGAGGCAGTACAGACCACGGGTGATGTGTATTTTGTACCCGCCTTTACCGGTCTCTATGCCCCCTATTGGCGCAAGGATGCCCGTGGTATGCTCATAGGTTTGACACAATTCTCCACCAAACATCATGTGGTGAGAGCCGCCCTGGAGGCCATCTGTTTTCAGTCGCGTGACATTTTGGAATGTATGTACAAGGAGGGTGGTTTCAAGTTCAATAAGCTCCATGCCGATGGTGCTTTGTCGTCGAACAATTTGCTAATGCAATTACAGGCCGATACGGCCGGTGTCCCAGTCTTCCGTTCCCAGCTGCTGGATTCAACGGCATTTGGTGCGGCCATGTGTGCTGCCCAGGCCGAAGGTGTGGAGCTGTGTAAATTTGATCCTGAAAAGAGACACTATGACAACATTTACTATGACACCTTCCTGCCGACGAGTACCGAGGAGGAACGCAAGCATCGTTATGGCAAATGGAAAAAGGCTGTGGAGCGCAGTTTCGATTGGGTGGATCGTGGCCAAGCTAAGACCATGACAGAGGAACGTTATCGCATGCTCTCGTCGGTGCCTGGAAGTTTGTTTATTATCACCACATTTGCAATGCTGGCCCATTCACTGCGTAATGTCAAGGCTTAAAGACGAGAGGTGGTAAATGTGCTCCTCACTTACATAAAATGAGAAATACAATCGATAGACAATCAGACTTATAGAAGAGATTGAGTGGAAGTGCTAGAAAATGAAAAGGGATTGAAAATGTCATCTATAAATTCATGAACCAGATTTTCTTAGACAGATAATTAAGAAAATGAGAAAGAGTTCCAAAAAGTGCCGAATTATTTTGGAAAGGTCACCTGTAGATAGATAGGCATAGATTTTAAAGAAAAGGATATGGTATCATAATTACAAAATGTCTTCATTGGTTAGAAATTGTCAAAAGAAAAATTAGACCTTCATAGGGCCACCTGCGGATAGAAAGACATCAAGAAGTCAAAAAAAAGCTTTCGAAAAGTCTTTTGATAGAAGGTCTTATGACAGTATCAGATTTTCAAAAGTTTCCTAATAGGATATAATATATTCTAAAGACGTTCTATAGAATTAAGAAAAACAAAACAGGACTGGAGCATTGTCAGACCACTATTCGAAATGTGTTTTTTCTGACACAGATTTTCAAGGACAGTCAGATATTTAAGGAAATAGAAAAGAGTTGTGGCTGAATTTTAAATCTATTTTAGAGCAATTTTGAAAATGTATTCTTTTATTGTAAGGTTTATCTCAGGATCTTCTAGCCATATATGACCTCTGGATGGTCTTTTGTTCATAGAGAATATTTTCACGGGAAAGAAGATCTTATGAAAGTCTTCTCGTCTTGAAGATCTATGAAATGATAAAATTAACACTTTTGAAGGTATTTGGGTCACATATGCCCAAAAAGTTCCTTTGAGATCCATAGAGGTCTTTCGAAGGTCTCAGAAAGTCATTAGAATTTATTCAACCTTTTGAGGGGTCTCCTTGTCATAGACGGCACTTTGATGGCTTTATCACATGGCAAACTTTTCGAAATCTTCTAGTTATAGAAGAGATGTTTAGGTTCTTCAATTTATATAAGGCCAAAGACTACTCCTAATTTAGGAACTTTTGAAAGTCGTTTAGTTATAGAAGACAATTTAAATGTGTTCTAGATAATGAAATCCTATTGGAGCTGTTGTAGTTATAAAAGAAAATTTAATGCCTTTTAGTTATAAATTATCTTTTGCATGTCCCTTTCCCAAAAAGGACCTTATGAAGGTCTCCTTACCATTGAATATCTTTATAAAAGACTCTTTTGCATTAAAGGTCATTGGAAAAGCCTTTAAGCCATGGAAAACATCGTTTCTTGTCATAAAATTTCTCTTGATTGCCATTAGCCACGAAAGACATTTTTAACGCCTTCCATCTTTTGAAAACCCTTTGAAAATTCTACACATGGAATCCCATTTAAAGAAGGAATTTACTCCGATATGGCTAATTTTCTACCAGTTTTTGTATATTTTTCTTGGAAAAGTTAATTTTTTTCCTAGTTGGCCCCCTTGCGAAATAGTTTGCAAAATGCTATTATCCCTCGATAATAGACCCCTATGTAAATAAAGACCTTAGATAAATTCATCTTTAGATAGAGGACTTTAGGCAGGCTTGATCCAAAAAATATCTGGAGGTCTGCTATACCTTCATAGAATTGTCTACAGTCAGAAGCCTATCCAAGGTCTTATGAGAATAGGTTAAAGACCACTTCACCACTTTTTCTATAGACCTAGAAGCTCTTCTAAACGACTTGATCTTCCACGGACTAAGAAATACCTGAAGATCTGCTATACCTCCTTCGAATTTTCTACAGTCATTAGCCTCTCCAAGGTCTTCTGAAAATAGCTTGAAGACCCATATGTGAAGAAAAATTTTCACAAGTTCTTCTATAGAGCTAGAAGCTTTTCGGAATGGCTTGATCTTCCACGGACTAAAAAATTCCTGAAGGTTTGCTATAGAATTTTCTACAATCAGAAGCCTCTCCAAGGTCTTCTGAGAATAGATTAAAGACGCATATGTAAATAAAGACCTTCACAAGTTCTTCTATCGAGCTAGAACCTTTTCTAAATGATTTGATCATCCATGGACTGACAAATTGCCGAATGTTTGCTACAGAATTTTTAGAATTTTATACAATCAGAAATCTCTAAAGGGGTCTTCAAGAGGTCTTTGTAATAGATTTAAAAATCTTCCATTAGAAGGCCTTGGAACGGTCATTCAACACAAGGCATTTTAAAATACTTCTATCTTCAGATGACCTTAGTAAAGCTAAACACTGCTTTAGTAAACCCTCTTTTAGAAAATATATTTTAAAGGTTTTCCATTCCACGTTTTCTAAAAACGACTTTCTGGAGGTCTTCCTTAAAAAAGATTATCAATAGGTTACAATTTTCTACTACCAGAAATCTCTCAAGGCTCCTTTAAGAGGTCTTTCTAATAGATTTGAATATCTTCCATTAGAAGCCCTTAAGACAGTCTCTCATCAAACATTTAAAAAAACTCCATATTTAGCTGACCTTAGTAAAATCAAGCCCTTTATCGGAAAATCCCCAAAAGGAGACCTCCACAAATTTCTCAAGATATCTTCAAGAGGTCTTTTTAATCGATTTGAAAATCTTCCATTAGATGGCCTTAAAACAATCATTCATCAGACATTTTTAAATACTTCTATCTTTAGCTGACCTTAGTAAATTCAAGCCCTCTATCAGAGAATCCTTAAAAGGAGTCTTGCGAAGGTCTTCTATCCATGAATGGCTCCTTCCAACCTCAAATAAGGCATTTTATCTTTAGGAAATGCTTTTTAAAATATTCACGTAGGACCTTCATGAGCTTTTTTTAGTTCATAGAAGACCTTTAGTTTCAAGTCAACGCCAAAATTCTCGAGAACCACAACTTCAATTTCCAGTGCTCAATTCTAAAATGATTTTATAGACCTTAAATTTCATCTAGACTCCTTTTTTATTTTATTCGTGTTTTGTCCTTTTTTCGAAATCATGTAAAAACTGTAGTGTATTTCATATACACAGAGAAAAAGGACTCAAATTCTTAAAGAGAGTAATGTTTGTACTTATAAAGTATTTTCCTTAAATATGTACTATTATTATAAGCTTTAAGATACCCATTAGTAATGTTTTTAATTAATACTGTTTTTATTGAATTTTACCATTTATATTTTTTTTATAAAACTCTGTACAGACGAGACATGTACGGACTTCATTTCAAATTTTATTTTGTAAAATTACCCCCTCTCTTTGACAAGTTATGGTTGTTGTTTATTGATTATTTTGTTTATCTTGTTGCATAAATATTTTTCTTTTAGATTACCACTATTGTAAAGTACTTTACAGCCATATGTGATAAAATGTTTCCCCACCCCCTCTCCTCTCCATAATGTTCCCTTTTTATTGTTTTTATAACAACCACTATTGTAAACCTCTTTTTGTGTTAAGAACCGCAAAATGTATGAAATTAATTTATAGCCATTTAAGAATTATATGCCAACGACTTATAAATTTAACAAATATTTTATAATCAGTAATGTTCTTGTTATTATTATATAAATATTATATAAATATTATACCATCCAAACGAAATTAGTGTAAATATTAGCTATTCATGAATTATACGATTTAGATTAAGAACCAGGAAATTATGTTATGTTTAATTGAAATAAAACGAAAAAAAGCTTTAAAATTCAAAGAAAAAGAATTAGTACTTCATTAATTATTTGAATGTATGAATTATTATTTTTTTTTATTGATAACACTATGTAACACAAAAACAATTATAATCAGAAATTTTCAGTAGATTATGAAAGTAAAGCTAAAAATAGATTACGCATGTATTGGTTTTTTGAGAGTTTACATCGGAAAGTAACCTAAATAGATGCGGCGATTTTTTAAAATCCTACACCACAAGGTTGTCAGTGTATTATGTCTTTGTGCATTTGTTTGTAACAGGCAAAAGGAAACGAGATAGACCCATAGTTCCTTTTGATGATCTGCATAGAATCACATTCTGAGTCGATTTGTTCATGTCCGTCCGTCCATGTGCTTTTGTAATAAGAGTACAGGTTGCATTTATTGCCCGATACAGATGAAATTTTACACAAGTCATTGGTTTAACCCAAGGACGAACCCTATTGAAATTGCAGATAATCGGCCAGAATTTAGATATAGCTCCCATATATCTTCGTCCGATTTGCTCTTTTATTGTGCACCATACGTGTAATAAGTATGCCAAATTTGATCGAAATCAGTTCGGATATATCTATAGCTCCCATATACAGGGTGAGATGAAAAACTGCAGCAAAGTCAAACGCCATAATTTTTACATTCTTTTAAAATGTAATTGAATGAATATATTTTTTTAAATTTTATTGAATGAATATGAATATTACATAAGAGCTTCAGAATGCCTTCCCTTTAAAGAAGAACTACAGGGTGAGATAAAAAACTGCAACAAAGTCAAATTAAATAATTTTTACATTTTTTTAAATTTTATTGAATGAAAGCAAAAAATGTCGGAAATAGCATCAAATTTTATGATTTGTTCGAATTGGCACGAATTATGGTCTTCAAGGGAAATCACCGTCACACGCTGCCCGAATATTGCTCTGCGGTATTTTGGCCCATTCCCGGCGAAGCGCTTGCTTGAGGAGATTAACACTTTGGTAGTTTTTAGTGCCAACCTTGCTTTCCATAATACTGCAGACACAGAAGTGCGCGGAAATAAAGTGAGGAACCTTTTTTGTAACCATTCTTGGGTGGCGCCTATTGAGTGCGATGGTGCTGAATGTTCAAGGTCTGCGGCCAAAATGGTTGCGTGTCCAAGGCCTTAATACACCCTCCAGAATATTATTTTTGCGAAAATATTCGGCATTAATTCTGATGCCGCCACGGTGGATTAATACGAGCGGAGAGCGACCATCGGCTGTTATTGCGGCCCACACCATCACCATGGCCGGTGCTTGAGTTCTGGTGGCCAAACGAAGGTGCACATTTTCAGCCGACCTCTTTGTTTGTTTACAAACTGCTGGACAACGAATGTTTTCTCATCGGAGAAAACCAAATACGGCAGTTTACCACTTTCGGCCAAGCAAAGCAACTCTTTAGCTTTTTATACCCTCCACCTTGGAAAGGAGGGTATATTAACTCTGTCATTAAATATTCGGCGTAGACCCATAAAGTATATAAATTCATAATCAGCATAAAATTCTAAGTCGATTTGTCCGTCTGTCTGTCTGTTGAAATCACGATACAGCCCACATTATTTGACGTAGAGCGCAGAGCAATTTGTATTGTGTCTAGGATGGTTGGTATTGAAAATTAGATATATCGGTCCACGTTCTGGTATAGTCCCCATATAACAGTACCTACAGATATTCGGTATTTTGATGATTTATGCCACATTTTTTTCACGGATTTGTCTGAAAATTGGTATTTGTAGGTCATAACGGGTGGCTGTGCGTGTGGCAAAACATTGCATGTATAGGTCCACGTTTTGGTATAGCCCCCTATATAAAGGTACCTTCCGATATTCGGTAATTTGATGATTTTTACCACATTTTTCACGGATTTGTCTAAAAATTGGTATTTGTTGGTCATAATGGGTTCCAGCTCCGGTGGCGAAACATTGCATGTATGGGTCCATGATTTGGTATAGTCCCCATATAACGGTACGTCCCGAGGTTCGGTAATTTGATGATTTTTGCCACATTTTTTCACGGATTTGTCTGAAAATTGGTATTTGTAGGTCATAATGGGTTCTAGCTCCTTTTGCGAAACATTGCATGTGTAGGTCCACGATTTGGTATAGTCGCTTCTTTACTTTTCGAACAATTTCTGCTGATGTTGCTGTTTTCTTCCATCCACGCTTGAATTCCATCACGAATAACTTTTTTTCTAAAAAATTCTCACCAAAACGCTTTTGTACGCTTGTAAACAATATAATGAGCTGTCACTGAAATAATTTTAACAACTGTCGGACGAGTGGCTTAGAAATGACAGCAGTCTGAAGTTGGTTGCAGGTTTTTCATCACACCCTGCATATGCCAAATATATTTTTTAGAATATTTTGACTTGCTAAGATCCCGTTAAAGGGGATTTTTAATTATATTTTGTAAAATGGACCAAAAAAGCAGCTTTGGTAGCTGACTTGAGCCTTAAGAAAATTGATCAAAATAATCCTCAGATTGTTTATAGTATTATCGAGGACGCTTTATATCTGAAATGTAAGGATTGCAAGGATCTTAATCCGAAAAAGTTCAAATGTGTGGAAAAGGACGGGGGAACTTTCCCCCTTTATTTTTGGGCACTCTGCGATGCAAACTTTCATAACGACGATGCATGCGTCATTACATTTCTAGCTCTAATTTTATAATCTGCTGGATTTTTTTCTGTAATTATTCAGAAAAATGGTTTTTGTCGCCTAAAACTTAAATGTGGATATTTAAAAAACATGCATAAATCACTAATATTTTTAGAATATATTTTTTAGGCAACCCTGTAGAGTTGTAATTTCAAATAGCCATCGATTTTTCCAACCAAGCAAAAAAAAATAATTCTATTCAAATAATTAAAATAACAATATCGGCCTAAGTCCAACTACTCAGATCCATAATCGCGAACATTTTTGAAGTTTTCTTGTTCAATATTTGTTTCTCCATTAAGCATTATTGCCTATCTCTTCTTCTTCCTTAACATAAAACATTTATAATGTGTGTTTCGCATAATCTTTATTATTTGCACATCGGTGTCTTTGAGGCTCAAGTGTATTATCATATCGATATACGAACTTTATCAGGGTCTGAACGACGTTGAGCCACACCTTCGTTTATTTCTTAGTTGAACGATACTGATTTCATTATTGCTTTTATTTGCGATACTACTCTTGGTATGTGGACCTTGGCAAAATTCTGACGAATTTGTACTGATAGCATAGTTGTTGTATTTTTTAATTGCAATTTTTTTTATAAAAGAAAGACAATCAATTGAAAGATATTAATCGAAGTGCAGCAGAGTGCAAGTGGTTAAGTTGAAGGTCTTGTAATTAAGGAAAGCTGCTTTTGAGACATTTCTACATTTCAACAAAAGAAGACGTTTTGATGAAAGTTTCTTTACGAGGTTGTCAATTGTAGACAGACATTATTTCAAGGGGTTTAATTTGATGAAAACAAATAGCCACTTTAACATTGTGTAGATATTCGGAATTTTGCTGATATTTGCAATATTTTTCCACTGAAATTGTTTAAAATTTAGTATTTCGAAATTATTAGTGGATTCCAAAAAGTGAGTGTAGAGAGTATATATTCGACATTTTTATGATTTCAGTCATATTTTTCATAGGAATTGTTTGAAGATTGGTATTTGGCCCTCCTAAAGGCTACTATTTTCTCAGCAGACAATATTTTTTATATGTAAATTTTCTATAGCCTATGTGAAAGTACCTACCGTTTTCGTAACGGAATTGTTTACAACTTGGTACTTAGACTTTGCAATTGGTCCTACCCCTTGTGACATAACATTATCTATATAGGTCCACGATTTCCAATAGCCCTCATACAACGGTACCTTCGGATATTCCTTTTGTTATATTTTCAATGGAATTTTTGCAATGGTCAAAGTAAGACCTTTGGTGCCTAACGGTATTCTCCAACAGATTTCACTAGCCTAGGCAGTTTAAAATTGAACTCGTTCGAATATTGTTTACCAAGGTTTTGCAAACCTTACCAAGTTTTTTTTACTTTTTAAAAAATTTCAGTAAATTTCTTAAGATCGGTAATTTATAGGATTAAAATGATTGTATATATTATGTATCGAAAAATTCACAATTTGCAGATGTTTTGAAAAATAATTTAAAAATCTAAATTTCTAGAAAAATTCACAATTTTTAAAGAGGAAAAATAGCATACTTTAAAATGGCCATAACTCCTTAAATATTGACATTTCGGGGTTTTTAGCTATTAGCTATTGTGATCACTTTTTAGAGAGGAAAAATAGCATACTTTATAATGGCCATAACTCCTTAAATATTGACATTTCGGGGTTTTTAGCTATTATTTGTGATCAGTTTTTTAAAGTGGAAAAATAGCATACTTAAAAATGGCGATAACTCCTTAAATATTGACATTTCGGGGATTTAGCTATTATTTGTGATCACTTTTTTAGAGAGGAAAAA